ACCATCCAACCACTTGTTTTCTTTATTCTTTCACTTATTGTTTGGCTGGCCCTGTGCCAGGTGCAGGGGTAAAGCTATGGCTGAGATGGACACGGGCCCCCTTCACACGGCTGCTGAACGGCAGAGCTGGAATCAGAACCCAGGCTGCCTGGCTCCTGACTGTAGGTTTTCCCGAAGCAGGAAGGCTAACAGGTAACACCGAGTTCTCTTCTGCTCTCAGAGGACAGATGAGGTCATATCTGCAGATCAGGAGGCTGGGGCTGGGGGTCCCAGGGTTGGAGCAGCACCTCCCAAAAGGCCCTTTAAGTTGGGAGCGATTGTGTGGTAAGGGCCCCACTTCCCTGTAGGACCTGCAGGGATTCCTCAGTGGCCTGGGAAAGCACCCCCCTCCCTCCTCCGCTGCAGGGCCTGGCATCCAAGTCTGGGTTCTTTCCAAAGAAGGAGGAGGCTCTGTTCAGGGCAGGTGTTCACACGGCCCAGCAGCTGAATCCCGACCTCCCTCCCCCTCGCCCCCCTTCTCCTTCCACCAGGGAAGATTCAGGTTCCACTTGGAGAGCAGAACTAGGAAACGGGGCTGAGGGCTAGAGTCCTAGAAACAGCCGAAGGGTAAGTGTGCTTTTACCAGCCCATTTTACAGATGAAGACACTGAGGCCACAGAGGTTAAGTTACCTGCCCTCAAAGCTGGGGCCCACCAAGCACAACTCAGGACTCTACCCGCAAACATTGCTTGCTGCTCTTCAGCCACCTTCTAGCTTTCTTGCCCTCGGAGGCCTGGACACTCAGATTCCTCAAACGTACTCATACCTTGCTCTTAGGTCACCAAGAAGAACGTGTGGCCAGGCCGGGGCCTGTGACTGCTCCACGGTGCCTTGTGGTGTGTGTCCAGCGTCCTTCCACTCCGGACCTTGGTGCCTTCAACCCTGGCAGTGGAGATGCCAACACCTGCCCTCGGGCTTTTTCTGACGACGGAGGGACTCAATACAGGTCACACGCCCGAGACAGTAAGCCTTTGGGAGTACTCAGGAGTTGGCAGTGTGTATCACTCATTCCCTTCAGAAGTTGTGTTGTATAGTGTTTCTTGGAATGAACTAGAGAGAAATGTTCCCCCAAATACGTAAATAAATAACACAACTCTGAAAACTGCAATTTCACCTAAGTCCTTGTTTGCTTTTTAGTTTTGAAGTCTTTGCCCACGCTGGCCGAAGAGCAGCGGCCGGGTGGATGGCGGGCGGTGACAGGGTGGCCGGTGCTTCCTGCTCTCGCTCTGGCAGGTGAGTGAGTACCAGGGGGACCCTCCCACCAAGGACACCTAGAATGGCCCAGAAAGGTAAGCCTGGAGTTGGGAGCTCCTTTTCCCCTCAGGCAGGCTGGCTGCCGCGGCAGAGGGCCGGGAAGCTCCAGAGCTTTGGTGTCTCGGGTCTGGGGGACAATAATTGGAGCGCAGGCCCCACCATGGTGGTGATTCTTCGATAAAACCCCAGACTTGAGGCGCGACTCTAATAACTGATGAACACGTTCAGGAAATTAGATAACAGGAATTTCAGCAGACACCTGGAAACCATAAAAAAGAAGCAAGTGGTCTGGCCAGCGTGGCTCAGTGGTTAAGGATGGACCTATGAACCAGGAGGCCACGGTTCAATTCCCGGTCAGGGCACATGCCTGGGTTGAGGGCTTGATCCCCAGTGTGGGGCGTGCAGGAGGCAGCCAATCATTGATTATTTTTCACCATTGATGTTTCTATCTCTCCCTCTCCTTTCCTCTCTGAAATCAATAAAAATTTATTAATAGAAGAAGAAGAAGAAAAGAAGAAGCAAGTGGAAGTTCCAGAACTGAAAACACAACACTGAAGCTAAGAATGGCCGTCGTTAGGATCACCGACTGAGCCACGGCCCAGGCTCCGGTCCTGGCCCCAGGCTTCACCACGTACAATGCCAGCCCTTGTTTCCTTTTCCTTGAGGTGAAATTCATACAACATACAATGAACCATTTTAAAGTGTACAGTTCAGTGGTATTTAATGTATTCACAATGTTGGGCAAAAACCAGTGCTCCCGAGTTTCAAAATCTTTTCATCACATCACTAAAGGCCTTGTACCCATTAAGTTGTCGCTTGCTGTCCTCCTCCCTCCCCCGTAGCCTCTAGTCTACTTTCAGTCTCTGTGGGTTTCCCTCTCGTGGCTGTGCCGTATCAGTTAAGCATACAGTATGTACCTTTTGTGTCTGGCTTTCACTTACCATGTTTTCAAGGCTCATCCAAATTGTAGCATGTGTCAGTATTTCATTCCTTTTCATGGCTGAATAATATTCCATTGTGTGTCTGTATCACATTTCGTTTTACCATTCATCCACGGATGGACGTTTGAGTCGTTTCTGCTTTTGGCTAATATGAATAATGTTGTATAAACATTCGAACACAAGTTTCCGTGTGCACCTGTTTTCATTTCTCTTGGGTATACAACATACAATGAACCATTTTAAAGTGTACAGTTCAGTGGTATTTAATGTATTCACAATGTTGGGCAAAAACCAGTGCTCCCGAGTTTAATAATTGGAATAATTGTTCCTTAACTCCTTGCAACAGTTTCCTTGTATAAAAAATGGGGCGGATGGTGGTACCTAATACATAGTTCCACGAGACAATTAATCAAGGGGCTTAGCTTCATAAATGATGACTATAGATCAGAGTTGTGACCCAAGCAGGTTGTAAGTATTTGTTGACATGTCTGTCTGCTCAGCTAGGTCGCAGGGCCTTCCTGTGTCTGTCTGCACCCCAACCCCAGTGCCTGGCACCCTGCTGCCATGGAGCAGACAGTGGCCTTACCTGTCCCTTGGCTCACCAGTGCCATGGGGAGCACAAATACTATTGCTCTTTTTCAACCACTGGGGAAAACAAAGCTACTGGAAGTTGAATAACTTAATGCTACAAGACTCAAGAGAAGCAGAACCTGAAGTCCAATCTAAAACCTCAAGCAAGGGTTCATTCATTCATTCATTCAACATCAAATATTTACTGAGCACCTGCTTTATGCCAGGCATGTTCTAGGGCAGTGGTGTCTTCATGAATTACTTGGGAAAACTATATAAACAAGATAAATAAGTTACATTCTGTATCTAGGTGATATGTGCCAAGCAAAAATAAGGCAGAAAAGGAGGATAGGGAGTCAGTCGCCTGGGGAGGGTAGGAGGGCTACAATTCCTATACAGCTCATCAACGACAGGACGGGGATTTGAACCTGGATCTGAGTGCGGAATCTGTGCCATGCCTGGCCTTCCCCTGGTTTCCTGGGGGGAGTGTGGGGCTCTGGTTCAGAGCTGGGGCTTCAGAGTCAGACCTACTAACGGGCTGCTTGCCTAACCCCTCTGGGCCTCAGTTCCCACCTCACAGACGTATGTGAGGATTCAGTGTGGCCACAGACGCGCATGGGGAGGTTGCTGTTAGGACTGTCGTTGTTAGTACTGTACTAGAGAAGGTTTGCCTTCTGAAAAGCTATCTGGTGCAGCGGACTCCCTCTGGTCCTAACCAACTTGGGGTCACACGACTGGCCAACCTTCTAGGCCGCCAGAAGTGAGAGGAGAAACCAAACCTTTCACCCTTGGAGAGCAGCGACCCTCCCAGACCCCGTGAATTTGGCCAACCAGGTTCTGCTTGCTCTCAGGTTACTTCTCTGTGAGCTTCTGGAGACAGCTGCTCTCCTTTGGGCATCAGGGTTACCAAGGAACACGGCTCCGTTAC